GAGCACTGGGTGTTATACGAAAACAAAGGATCGTGGATCACCACATCAAAAACCAATGATGTATTGTATGGTGACTAACATAACATAATAAAATTAAAAAAAAAAAAAAGAGTTAGTTCTGTTCCAGAGGTAAACGGACTTACTGCTCACTCCTTTTTCAGGATCCCATGCTTATCATATTAACTCGTACGTGTCAACCCATTCATGAAATACATGGTATCAAGCCAAATGTGAATAGCGTGTCAGAGCTACTGACCACTGGTACATGATATATTGGCAAACACTAATTTCTCTCCTTTTTTACATGAAAAATAAATACAAAAACCTCTAAAATGTTTTCTTATACCCCTCTGTGTTATCTTATGCAACCTCACTTTGAACGGGATTATACTACTTTCTTCACAGAGAGAGTATTTCACCCATTGTGCTGATCATTCTAGACTCTTACTATAGAATTTCTAAACAGTGGAGGCATGGCTAATCCGTACTGCAGAATAAACACCAAGTTAATGCCATTAACTCTCACCCATATCACTAGCCTCCTCTTCATTTGCTTTTATTTCTCACTATGTTCCTATTACTCAGCTTCTACCCTTACTAGTTAAAGACATCATTAGTTCATAGGAATTTTTTTTTTGAAATTTTGTATAAAAGATCTGTGCTGTGTACGTTAAATGTCATTGCTTCTAAAGAAACATTGTGCCAACTCTTAACCTGAGGTTTAACTTTTTCTTTCTCTTTGGTTAGTTGTGCTTTTGCACCTGTCTTTAAGCTTAAAAGCATTCTATCAACTTTCTGCTCTAAATGGAAATCTCCAGCCTGGCAGTCAACTGATTGGATATCAGAAACCAGGTGATCTGTGTTATTCTGAAGGCCTAAGACATATGCTGATATACATCAAAAGTGGGAGCTTTGGCATCCAAGAGCAGGGAGCTGAGTAGCCTGGACTTGGGCTGCATTTACACCCCAGGCTGCTCCCCCACCACACCCCCAGTTAACTGTGCATGTGTTCCAGGCTAAATTACCTCTAGCTTCAGTGCCCGTGTTTATAATACCTACTTCTCAAGATTGTTGTGAGAATAACTTAAGGCAATCAGTGCAAAGTGCCTAGCATATACAAGTTGCTTAAAAAAAGGTAACTGCTAACACTGTTATCATTTCTATTACTAAACTCCCTGTAGGGATGAGGAGGAGTGTTCTCTTGCTTTTCACTAACTTATTTAATGGAGCTACATGACTACCATCTACTTCTCCTCCTGTGCGAATAGGCTTTTCTTTAAAGTTTGAATGTGCAGTAAAGCTAAAGGAGTCATTTTCTTGAAATACCTTGCAGGTTCGGTTTTGCAGGGAGCAGAGAAATCCATATCCCTGACTCGAGGCGGGAGGAGTAAGTACGCCGCCGCCTTGGTGTGGGAGAAGGGGAACTCTGGTCCTGCGGAGAAGGAATTTTCCGAGTGGTTAGAATCAGTAAAGGAGAATCCTGCTGTGATTGACTTTGAGGTAAGAGTCAGAAATATTATGGGTAGGGGCGCCTGGGTGGCTCAGTTGGTTAAGCGACTGCCTTCGGCTTAGGTCATGATCCT